AACTATATTAATTCGATTTGTTAAACTTTTTTGTGCCTACAAGATTTTGGTTATAGGCTACAATCTAAAAAATATGTTACATCAATTTTAAAGCAATTATATTTCTACATTTTCATTCATCGTCTTCATCATCATAAGTTTTTATAGGAGCAGCCTCCAACATCAACGACTTGAGAGATATATTTTGAAAAAAAGGTAAGACGAATCTTTATCCAAATATATTATCTTTTTTATTATTATATATCATATTTTGTTCTTATCTTACAAATATAGTCTCTAATCTTAAACTTGATTCTTATATTTCACTTTGTCAGAATACAATTAGGTCGATTCATTTTTGGACAAATTTGTATTATACCAAGAATTACATCATAATTCTACATTATAGAAATGTTATATAAAAAATGTAAAGTAGTTGTAGATATATATTTTCGCTACAATGTCCATCATCATTTTAATCATTATTTTACTCTCTAAGATCAGCTATTACAATGCTACTTACATTTTCCTCCAATAATTTTTTACTAATCAGTATCTTTTTTCTTTCAAGGCAAAGTAATGCAGCATATAGGGAAGCAACAACGATCACAAACATGAAAGCGATCTAGGGAATATTGTTATGCAGCATGAATGCATGCGATAACTAGAACACACAACAAACAAAAGATCAAACATGCCACACAAGATGATACATTAGTTCTCAAACAAATTTTCAATACAAGTTTCGAAACTATGGAAATCTACATAGAGATACTTTCAAATTGCTCACACTATCATGCGATGAGACTACAATATAAGCCACCTGGTTTTTGTTGCTGCAAGGGATATATTCTACTATCATACACAGGGCATCCTTTAGAAATATGGGAATTATTTACAGGAAAGGCTGACATTGCAAAATATTCCAAGGAAATACCCGAGGATATAATTCAACATATCAGTTCACTATATTCTTAGTGCCCGAAACAATGGAAAATCATTATCACAAAAAAGGAGTTTACATATTTAAAATAAGAGGTTAGTTACACAACTATGCTCCATAATTGATTATAGAAACTGATAAACTGAGATTTCTACAATTATATTATTATGATACAAAAAATGAGACAAGCAACAGATTACACTAAATAACCAATTTAGATCCAATAGTAGTTGAACACATTCAAACCACATTACGAATATACAATCCTTTTGTGAAAGTCTTATTGAAATCGAAAACTTAGAAGAATACAAGATAGTGTTGGAACAAAGTAGCGTGACAAGGAAAAAGAACTTTCGACATTGAGAAGGCCCGACTGACCCTTGCCTAGTCAAACCCAGCAGGAAAGAGCTAAAGATGCAAGCACCTAACCGTAACCCACAAGGGAAGCAAGCAAGGACTTTACTAAGCACTTAACTAAAAGCAATAGAATTCGAGTTCTTCTTCTTATTCAGTACCAACGCAAAGCAAGTTAAGCCAGGGAGTTATTCTCTTGTATTCCTAACTTAGATCAATGAGTTGTAAGGACCCGCCGTGCGTGACGAAAGAAGTCATTGTGCCTGGCGAAGGAAGCCGCTGCGCATGATGAAGGAGCTATCGTGCGTGATGAGGATGCTGCCATGCACGTCACCACCGTGCGCGACACTGCCGTGTGTGACACCGCTGTGCGCGTCACCGCTGTGCGCGACACTGCCGTGTGTGACACCGCTGTGCGTGTCACCACTGTGCGCGACACCGCGGTGCATTATGCCGCCGTGCACGTTACTGCTATGAGCGTTGCTGCTAAGGAGGAAGCCGCCGTGCACGTTACTGTCATGAGCGTTGCTGCCAAGGAGGAAGCGGCCGTGCGCATTGCCATCGAGCATGACACCATCGTGAGCATTGCTGCCGGGAGTGAATGTATAGGTTCGTCCAGGGAACTTCTATCAGTGCCATGTTACACATGTATGCCACACTAAATGCCATTGTATGACACTTGTGTGCCCCTTGCATGCCACCTGTCTGCTGCCTCCCCTTTTTTGCTTATAAGTACCTGCTTTCACACCCCTCTTAAGAGTTTTTTTCTCTCTCTCTCTCTCCCACGACCTCCATTTCAAAACACTTAGAACCTCAAGCTTGAAATAATTTTGGAAGCTTGGCCTGTGTGAGGGAAAACTTGGAGTCTTTGGTGCATGTAAGAAGATTTAAGATCCCATGATTCATGCCTTATTTGATGCATGTTCAACTTAATTGTTAAAGCATGAAAATTGAGTATGGATATGGATGTGATTGTGGAAAGATGCTTCTAAAATTTTGTTTAGTATGCACTCTATTTTTCCAGGATTGTGACTCTCCTATGTATTATTGAATGTGCATGATAAGACATGCTTTAAAATATTGAATGTGTATGGTTGTAATAAGACATGCCTATGAATTATTGAATGTGCATGATTGTAATAAGACATGCTTTGAAATATTGAATGTGCATGGTTGAAATAAGACATGCAACAGATATGATTTGAGGCACTACGCAATGGGTCATCCGTTGATAGTATAATGTGATATGATATGATACGAAAGTTATGTCGGCAGTTGAGATATTTCCTTGACTCCCAATGATAGGAAGGGAGTTAGGATGTGAGTCCTATGGGTAAGTCGTACCCCCCAATATATGTATATGTGGTACTACGAAATGGGTCATCCATTGGTGGTGTGACACCCTCCAGTTAGAGAGTAAATGAGGGTTGTGTCATGCAACGCCATTGCCTATCAAATGCCCCAAACCGCGTTGGGGATTGTATGTGTGAGTGAAGACATTACGTAATAGGTCATCTATTAGTCATTGTCTTCTCTCCTGAGTAATAGTAGAAGTCCTAAGTAATGGGATTGGCTTTGTCAGATTGATAGGGCTTCTACTCAAGAATATGTGGTATTAGGATTGCGTGCAATTATTATATGTTTGCTTGAATTATTGATGTATTATTTCAATAGAAACGTTTGATAGACTGTTAGCTAATGTGAAATCAGATTTGTGCTTGCTCCATCATGAAAAACATTACTCATGACATGCATGACCCCCATGTTGTAAAACCTGCATAAATCTTTGGAACGATTATGAATAACTCTGTATAGGCAAGAATGCCTGGCGCTTTGATCTACTTACTGGGCTTCATAGCTCATTCCTTTAACTTTCTCCATTATAGAGTGATAACTCACGATTTGAGAATGGACGGGTGGGTGATCGCGGTGACGGTTGGAGCCTCGAACTTGATGAGGAAGCTTCTGTTCAATTGTAGGTTTTAGATCGAAGTTTGGCCATATAGTTGTTTTGTTTCAATGTTATGTAATTTTGTTAGGCCTCTAGTTCCATAGACTATTTGTAATAATTTTGGAGCTCTTATATATATATATTTTTTAGTTTGCTCAGCTTTTGATGGTTGCGTTTGGAGTTTTGTTTTCTTTCGTGGTTTGATTTGATTCTTTCTTTTCAAAAGCGTTGAGTGCACTCCCACTTGAGTGGTATTCACTACCTTTGGTCGCGGTTCCACACCCTGTTGCCCTCTAGTATGTGTGATAGGGGGGTCGGAGGCAGGGCCATGACAATTTATGGTATCAGAGCAATCATGATGGGATTCTTGGTCTAGAGAGTCTTAGAAGTGTCCTCAGGGTGGTTTTGGATAGGTTAGTAACTGGATGTTCCTGTTATAAGTTGAGATGATGAGGACTCGTGCCAATAACTCGAGCTGGAGTACTTGGAACAGAGAGGCCTTCGAGGAATTCTTCAAGACACTTGGGGCCATCACTCAAATGATGAAGGACTATATGCTGGTCCCAGCTGCTTCTGCCCCTGATCAGTCAGACAGTGGTTTGATTGAGAGGTTCAAAAGACTTGCACCTCTAGCATTCTCGGGACGTGGAGGAGTGGAAAAGGTTGAAAAATGGAGGAGGCAAGTAGAAAACATTTTCGAAGTATTGCATTGTTTTGATGAGCAGAAAGTGAGACTGGGGACCCTTATGATAGAAGGGGATACCGAGCACTGGTGGAGTTCGGTGAGGAAATCCTAGGAGGAGATAGGAACGGCGGCAACCTGGGAAAGTTTTCTAGTGGCATTTAATTAAAAGTACTTCCCTGATTTAGTCTGATAAAGAAATGAAGTGGAGTTTATTGAGTTGCAGCAAGGGGGACTGTCAGTGGAGCAGTATGCTGCTAAATTTGCAGAGCTCTCCTGCTACGCGCCGCATATCATCAATACAGAATCGCATAAGGCGAGCATATTTGAGAGGGGCCTCAGGCCAGATATCTGAGGGACAATAATGTCAGTCAATCTTAAGACATTTTCCCCATTAGTAGACTTAACCATGAAGATTGAGAGAGATTGTGAAGAGTTCCGACTGAGGAAGGAAGGGAGAGTAAGGTATGCTCTGTTCGAGGGTTTTGGGAGGAAGACTCGGCCGCCTCCTAGAAGAGACTATAGGGGAAGTCCTACTCAAGGCAATGTGAAAATCAAAAAGACCTTCCCGGGTGATGTGAGGATAATCGGCGCCCGACCTGCTCAGACTGTGGATTGAATAACCACTCCTCGACTGAGTGCTACAAGAAGTCGAGAACATGTTATCAATGTGGCAAGCCTGGTCACCTGATCAAGAACTGACTTATGATGAAGCCTGAGGACAGACCGAAAACTCAGGGTCGGGTGTTTGTACTGACGAAATAAGAGGCAAAGGCTTTTACCTCAGTGATCTGAGGTAAGCTCTCTATTTGTGGTAAAGAGGCTAGAATTTTAATTGACCTTGGTTCCTCTCATTCTTTCGTTGCACCTCATTTTGCATGCCATCTAAATGTTGAACCTTCACTTCTTGACTGGACTTTAGTAGTGTGCATGCCTATGGGGGATTCTATGGAAACTAACATGATATACAAACAATGTGGGGTTTGCTTGAGGGGTGCATCCTGCCCATAGACTTGATACTTCTAAATTTTTGAGACTTTGATATTATTTTGGGCATGGATTGGTTATCCACACACCATGCCACTCTTGACACTTATGATAAGATTGTTACCCTTAGACACCCTATACAACCAGAGTTGCACTTTGTTGGTATCAAGGAAGTTCCCCTTCTACATTTTATTTCGGCCCTTTGGGCTTACCATCTTTTGGCTAAATGATGTGTTGGATACTTATCTTATGTGATAGAGAACCGGGACGTCCAGTCCAAGTTAGAAGAGATACCAATGGTAAGAGAATACCTAGAGGTCTTTCCCGAGGAATTGTCATCCTTGCCTCCAAAAAGGGAGATAGAGTTTGAGATAGATGTGGTCCCTGACACTTCTCCCATCTCTAAAACCCTTTATAGGATGACCCTAACAGAATAGAAGGAGCAATTGCAGGAACTGTTGGGAAAGGGATTCATCCGACCCAGTGTGTCACCTTGGGGTGCGCCGATTCTGTTTGTGAAGAAGAAGGATGGATCCATGAGACTTTGCATAGACTATAGGTAGTTGAATCAAGTAACAGTGAAGAACAAGTATCCCCTACCTAAGATTAATGACCTCTTTAACCAACTTCAAGGGGCCCAAGGGTTCTCTAAGATTGATCTCCGATCCGGTTATCATCAACTGCAGATCAAGGAGGGGGATGTTCCCAAGACTGCATTTAGAACCCGATATGGCTACTGTGAGTTTTTAGTAATGCCGTTCGGAATAACTAATGCCTCAGCTGTTTTCATGGATCTGATGAATATAATTTTCAAACCCTTTTTGGATGATTTGTTGTGGTTTTTATCGATGATATTTTGGTGTCTTAGAAGAGCTTAGAAGGGCATGAGCAGCACTTGAGAGTGGTCCTTCAAGCTTTAAGGTTGGAAAAGTTATATGTCAAGTTGAGCAAGAGTGAGTTTTGGCTTCCTAGTGTGGCCTTCCTTGGGCACGTTATTTCTAAGGATGGGGTTGCGGTTGACCCTTTTAAGGTTGAAGCCCTGCTCACGTGGGAAAGACCAACAAATGTATCAAAGGTCCACAGGTTATTATAGATGCTTTGTAGAAGGATTTTAAAAAATAGCGCTTCCTTTGACTGGTCTAACCCAGAAGTATGTGATATTTGTATGATCAAATGACTGTGAGAAAAGTTTTCAAGAGCTAAAGAAGAGACTGACTATGGCTCCGATACTGACCTTACCAAAAGGAAATGAGGACTTTGCAGTTTACCACGATGCCTCTCATAAAGGGCTCGAATGTCTGCTTATGCATCGAGTGAAGGTCATTGCATATGCCTCCAGACAGTTAAAGTCATATGAACAGAATTAACCAACCCATGATTTAGAGCTTGCGGCTATAGTATTCGCCTTGAAAATATAGAGACACTACCTCTATGGAGCCTAATTTAAGGTATTTACGGACCATAAGAGCCTCAAGTACCTGTTTTCCCAGAAGGAGTTGAACATGAGGCAAAGGAGATGGATGGACCTATTGAACGATTATGATTGTACCATCCAATATCACGCGGGCAAAACTAATGTGGTAGCAGATGCTTTAAGCAGGAAGCCTGTAATATCGATAGCTCATCTAATGGTCTAAGAGATGAAGTTGTTAGAGGGTGTAGTGGGATGACACCCAGCTCCGCCCCTTGGTAGTATGGTAAGTATGACAACTTACATAAGGATAGAGCTCCAATTTTTTCAACAGATCTGGTTGGCACAAAAGAATGATCCCCAGCTCATGAAACTTTTTGAAGAAATGAAGCTGGGAAGAAAAAACAATTTCTCTCTGAGTAGTGATGACTTGTTGAGATTCAAAAATCGAGTCTGTATCCCGAATAATAAGGATGTGAAGAGAGGTATCTTGGAGGAAGCCCACCATTCTCGTTATACTATACATCCCAAGAGTATTAAAATCTATTAGGACCTGAAGAAAACGATATGGTGGAATGATATGAAAAAAGAAGTAGATTGTTTATCTTTAAGTGCTTGACATGCCAACAAATGAAAGTTGAGCATCAAAGACCCGCCGGATTGTTGCAGCCCCTACCCATACTGGAATGGAAATGAGAGCACATT